GAAATTGCCATGGTTTATGAACTTTTCATAGTGCAACCACTGCAGATGGAAATGTGACCTGCAAGACTATGCGTGCTGAAAAGCTTTGCGGACATTAGACAGCATAGCGTATTAGAAAAAAAAACAAGCTTGTTAGAAGAACTGGAATGTTTTCTCAAGTCCTCAAACTGCTAGCGCATCAGCACCACATTTTGTTCGGTAAAGCCAAGATACTCCTAACCTTCAGTAAAAATCAGTTCAATGCTTCCCATCCGTCACACTTTGCAAATTCCTTCAGAGCATAGTATGAGCCATTTTTGAATAAACAATTAGGTGCTTAAGACGATCATTATAATGTAAATATCATATCGAAGGTTACTGTTCACATGTTATGATTTTCAGAGACAGAAAATCCGCTCAAAGGCAGTGCATTTTGTACTTGAATTTTATTGTTTGGCATTGTCTTTATTTAAGTCTAATCTGGCCAACCTATTTGCAGATGAGTTATCTACCAGTGCTCCAACCTTTAGTTTAGTTATTTTATTTCGCTCTTTCTAGATCAAACAATGCTAAAGCCAATGATGAAACAAGATCAATCAATGATCAAACAAGACCAAACAATGATAAACACCCAACAACGATAAAAAATCGCAGTTGATATCTTCCTCCTACCCAGTGATTTTCCCGAATTTCGCTATAGCAAGGTGGTCACCTTGGGCGTGTTGTAAAGAACGACATACAGTACATAATCAAGGTATTTTCTTAAACGTTTTGCTCTCATTTCAGGATACTTGCAAATAAACCTGTGCAACAAGTAGGAATAATACAATGCATATGCACGCACAGTGTTTTAATAAAGCCAATTGGAGCGCAAATAGTAGCATGCTTGCTTTAAACATTATCTTAACGCCTTCAGTTGGTTTTGCAAGGCATTACACCAGAGATTTATTTTTTTATTTCACAAAGCTAAATAGGCACTTCTTAAGTATACCAGACATAAATAAAATATATTCTTGCGTTTGATGTTCCTGTTTGAAATTGAAATTTCGCCTATTCGTATAAAACACCCAAATAATCTTCGTATACACATTTTTATTCCACCTACTGTAAACTCTAATAAGGTCAACAATAAATTTCTGTTTCCATGTGGGTTTCATGTTCCATAAAACTCTCGAATAAAATCACTCAGTGACCTTCAAGGTTGTGTTTGGATTATATGCTTCGTAAACTGTAATATAATCACTGAAACATCATTTTCTACAGTATTTTGCAGCTGTATGATTTAGTACGATCGCAAACGAGCTAGAATGTGGTGAAGCGGAATACACAATACGACGAGAGTCATCAGCAGCTGTCGCGTTGTATGCTGTTGCCGTCAAGTCCGTGTTCACGTTGTCAGCACATGGTGCCAGCCCGCAAAGGAAATATTCACTTGACGTCATCATTAGCAACTTTGTTGTTCAGTGCACAACTTCACTGTTCGGTAGATAAGTATATTAGGATAAAAAAAGCGGCTGTAGCGACGTGAGTGCATATTCTCTAAAACATGTGGCCTTTCATCCGAGTTATGGCAGTCGAGTTGCCGGTTATCCCGCTTACCGGTAAAACCACGAGTGATGTTGCACTCGGCCCATTTCTTCCATTCCACCTTGCCGAGGATAGGGATCAGGCCAATGCTTTGAATAGGCTGCACTCCGGAAACAAGGAGCTCTACGACCTCTCGACACTGCAGAGAAAGTAGTCGTACTATCAATGAGTTACGACAAACTTCTGTTCACTTTAGGGAAGCCTTCAGTACTGCAGCAGCTGAAATAGAGTAAGAACTCGTGAAAACAACACTTGGTATGACACCACCGCCCCTTCTCATCTCTGATAAAATGAAATAACCTCACGTAAAACGCATGCAAACGACATTCAGACATGGTGTAAATTTGGTGCAAAAATAAATGCCCTTTTTGGTGCGCTTTGGCACAAAGAATAAGTGCTAATAAACTGTTACAACAACTTGTGCACAGGATGATCAAAGCGTGTGTTGACAAAAAAAGAAACCTCTATTTTTAAATTCGCAGCCCCTGCATCGTGACAGCAACAAAGTATGAGCCCAGAGACGTCCAACGTGTTCTTTAAACCAATTACACGCAGCGTGCTCTTGAAATCAGTAAAGATCTCGTTTCGTTTCCTGCTAATATTTGTTTTTAAGGTTCAGTGCCCGAAAGTGACTTCTGTTACGCAAGAAGCCTTAGTGAAGAGCTCTAGTTAATTTTGACAACTTGGGGTTCTTCAGAATGCACTCAAATCACATGGATTATCTGCAAGTGTCGTGACCTAAGATTTATTTGCATCTGCAGATGCGCTGGTCTACCCTATATTTTTGTGAGGTGATTTTTTTATCTTGTCAAGTTTACTAGTTCTTCAAGTCTGACGTGTCTCTGCACTCCTGAACTGCTCGTAAAGTCACTCTGATCGCGCATCAAGACAATTTATTTCGTAACATTAATAGCTCACGGCGCTATTCGGCCATCACTTGGACCTTGTGCCAATAAACATGTATAATATATAATCGTTTGAGCAAAATATTTAGCGTGACAAGTCGCAAGTGCAGTCACTGTAAAGATGCTTCGAGCTGCACCTCATCATGTGGTATCGCATAAAGTTAGTGCACTTTTCAAAGGCAAACTGCGTCTGCTGGTTTCATAACAGCTTGCAACAGAACAGGCAACACAACGAACAGGCAACACAACAATATTTAAGTACACGCATATAGCATACGTCATGATACCACATTTTTATTATTTTATTAGTTCACGTATGAAAACATAAACAGTGTATTTTTCCCTGTAAAAAAAGAATATTCTTTCATAAGCGAATAAAATTATCACAAAAATGTGGAAGACATAACGCTAGAATTACCTGGAAATGCTCCATAAGACCCCTGGTGCTTTGTGATGCGTCATTCGCAAGTGCATAACGTGCAATATAGACTTCAATATTGTCACGGGATCAAATCTTGGCTCTGGCAGCTCCATTTCCGATGGAGGCGGTAATGTTGTAGGCCCGCGAGCTCAGATTGGGATGCACGTTAAAGAACCCCAGGTGGTTGAAATTTACAGAGTCTCTTACTACGACGTCTCTCATAATCATATGGTGCCTTTGGGACGTTAAACTCTACAAATCAATCAGACTTGAAGATTGGCTTACGAAAAGTTGCAAAAAGTAAAAAAAAACGTATGACTAGTTGAATTGTACATATTCGATAAAATAATTTACTGATGCTACTCCATTCGTAGAGATCTACCACTGCTATATACGAAGGGTCGTACCCTCGGTGGCCAGGTGGCCTGAAGCCCATATTAGTTAGTTAGACGAAGACGAGTCTCTGCTGTGTAGCTGTTACTGTTCGTATGTGTTTTTTATTCCAATTTCCTCGTGCTGTTACCTCCGTGGTGGGTTCGATGGCGACAGCAAGGACGGATGCTCCACCCTCTTTTCCACTAAGACTGGGGTGCGACATGCAAGTGTCAAGTCGGACTGGTGCGCTTGAGCATCTGAACATGGCGCTACCAAGATCATCGAGCTGCTCTGACGGGGATGAAATGGAATCTGACGGTGGATATGCTGAGGCCAGAAACCACCAATTGAAGAGGAAGTTTCGCAGGACATCAAGCGTGAGTGACCTTAACCACATTGCATCGTCCTCTCCGTAGACGTGCACTATTGCTTACGTCCCTATTACTGCTACAGGCAACCTGAATTTCCTGAATAGACAAGCCCTCATGGTGTATCTTGGAAGGATAGCTCCAGAACAAATGAGAGAGTTCCACATTATTCCCAGAAGGAATATACTCGCTGTTCTCGTTTCTACACGGGCGAACCTCAATGCACCGAAGGGTGTGATTTAGATGGGCAACATGCCTGTGCGCTCCTACATTATAAATGGAGGCTGCACCATTGCTGGTGGGATTTCTGATGTGGACAAAAATACCGATAACAGTGATGTGTTAGCGCTGATATCCTGGACTGTGTATATCTCAGACGTACACCGTGTTTGGATGGTCGAAATTTACGAAGATAGTTTTTGAGGAGGACACATAGCCATCACATGTAAAAGTGCGCTATGTGAGGCATCCCGTCCACCCGTACACACCTAGGCCATTACAGTGCCGCAAATGTCAAAAACTAGGACACGTTAGCGCTGTGTGCGTGAACAGGTTGACTTGTCCCCGCTGCAGCGGAAATTATGAAGAGTCGTCATGCGGGATATCTAACCTGAGGTGCACTAACTGTGATGGCCCACATGAGTCGAGGTCGAAAGATTGCCCCAAAAAAATAACGACTGGAATGACCATGCTTAGGAAGAGGGTATGAGATCACTCTACGCACAGAGAAGCGACTTCTAAGGTGCACCGTCACCAGAGGCGCTTTCGTACCCGCAGGAGGTTATCAGCATCGACAAGTGTACGAAAGCCTGTATTACCTGATGAGTCAGTGGGAGATCCTCTTATGTCTGAAGCGGTATCTCAACCTCGAATCACACCTTATTTGAAGTACGTGACGGACAATGCCTCATGGCCTTCTTTGCTGCCTCAGAGTGCTGAAGTGCAAGGGCCAGAAAACCAGCATGAACATGGGACTTCGTCATCGCATGTGCAAATCAAAGCGATGCTTACGCAGGTAATCTTCACCTTGCGAATGCTGCTTGTTGGTGTCAAGACGCCTGCTGCAAAGGCTGCAGTGCGAATTCTAGACGGACTAGAACCGGTGCTTGGTGCTATCTTAAACCAACAAAGACATGGCGTCAGCAGCCTCATCGTTGTCACTGAGTGAAAGGTTTAGTCATTCTGTTATATTTTAATGGAACGCTCGAGGGCTACGCGGTCACCTTGGAGATTTTAAACAGAGAATGTTGAACTGTCGATTCCCTGTTCCTGTGATATGCGAGTCGAATATGACTTCACCATTCAGACTGTCTGGATATGAACAATTCTCTTCCCAAACAAGTGGAAACCCTAGCAAAGTGTTACTATTCGTGCGCTGTGATTTCACGTATTCGCATAACCAAATACCTATGCATAACAGCAATGAGTACGTTTCCGTGACGTTGAAGCTAAAAAGACGTATGATATCGATCACTGGTGGTTGCATTTCACCGAGCGGGAGATTCGACGCTGGACACGTGAAACTTGTCATCGACTCGAGTCGAAAACTTCACGTCATCGTAGGTGACTTCTATGCACATCACCATCTTTGGGGCAACAGCGTCATAAGTACTCAATGAAGAGAACTTCTAGACTTCCCAAGCAACAATGGCCTTCATATTCTTAACGACGAATCAACGACATATTTCCGTGGCTCAACGTACAGCAGCTGTCTCGACTGAGCCATCGCTTCTCGGTGCCTTTCAACATCCACCGCCTGGTGTGCAGACGTTGAAACATATGGAAGTGATCACCTTCCTACTTACGTACAACTACGATGGTATACCGGCGTTGCAAGCATTCGAAGGCGATGCACAGATTGGGAGGCTTTTCAAGAAGAGCCAGAAAAGTCTTCTAGCTCTATAGTTTCTCCAACAGAAATTGAAGAAAGAATCGCGAGAGCAGTACAAACCACTACACGTGTTGTCACATCATCTAATTTCAGGAAGCCGGTTGATGTGGTATACGAAGAACAGCGGGCAGTTCGTCGTCGAGCTGAACGGAAAAACAGGCGAACGAAATTGATCACAGACCTGAGGACCTCTCGTACGTGCAAAAGAAACTTCAGAGGTACTTAAAAAAGCTTGGCCGTCAAAACTGGAAGGCATTTTTAACCACTCTGGACCCACGAAAACCACTGTCTAAGATATGGCACGTCGTAAGGGCTCTACCATCTTATCCTAAGCAACCACGTCCTTTCCGTGCATTGACCATTATGAGGAAATCCAGCGAGAAACAGATCACGGAAGAGTTCTGCATGCACCTCTATGCCTCTGCAACAACGGATGGCTTACTGCTTCGGTGCGCACCCCCTTCGGCAGACGTCCGTCTCGACCATCCTTTCACGCTGCAAGAGCGTCGTGCGGCTGTGTCCACTTTGCAACGTTCCAGTGCACCTGGGCCTTATGGAATCACCTATGCTGCCCTACGCCACTTTGTTCCTCGGGCTACCGAAGAGCTGCTGTCTTTGTACAACCTTTCTTGGGCATCTGGAATTGTAGCGGCACACTGGAAAACTAGCAAGGTCGTGGAATTGCTGAAACTAGGCAAGTCTCCCCGTGAAATGTTATCCTACAGACCTGTGGCGTTAGCAAGTTCTGTAGGAAAACACAATGAACGAATGGTTTTGGTGCACTTGGTATAGTTCCTAGAGAAGCAAAGAGTATATCCGGAAGCCGTGACTAGCTTCCGGAATGGAAGGTCATCAGTTGAGAGCGTGATTAATTCGGTGACAACCATTGAACATCAGAAAAGGCACCACCGATTTACGGCTGCAGTATTTCTTGATATCAAAGATGCACTCGATAATGTTCTGCATGATTTTATTCTCATTTATCTTGAAGGCTATTGCATTGGTGGTCGCATGAATCAATGACATACCAGCTATCTTAAAGAACGAACTTTATTCATGTATACTGCCAACGGAGACACAAATAAACATCCCTTTTATTGTGGCATGCCTCAAGGTGGATTCCTGAGCTCAACATTATTTAACATCGTACTTGTTGACCTCGTTATGAAGCGCGTTAGT